TGAATATCTTGCACGCAACTGAGTGGAAGGTAATGAAATGCAATTATATCATAGTATCCAAAAGAATTCATCTTGCCTGATCGTTTCAACTTAGTTCATTTGGCTGAATACAAGGTTTAGTGAACACATTGGATATACTGTTAAGATGATTCATCTAAATAAGAATGGAACAGGAGTAGACATGTAAACTAAATGAGAGATGGCACAATCAAATGAAAGTAAAGAACAGGTTGCCAAGGTAGAGAAAGGTTGAAAATTACCTGCATTTAGAACATAACTTAGGTTTAACGAATTTGGAAGGTAAAGCATCAGCACACTTGAAGCGTTTTGAACTTGCCTATTTCTTTCTTTCCTAACTATCAAACGATATCCTATTTTCTTCTAGTAAACAAAAGTTTGTTAAATATCCAATACAACTTTCATAGTTTACTATTCTAGGCTAAGAACAATCAACAAGAAACTGTTGAATATGGTGGGTACGTTATATTCTACTTCATTTGTTTCTTCATTTTTTCAATTTTAATAAACTGGGTTGTGCATGAAACTGATCTGGAAAGAAAACTCAACTACCTGTATTGATTCTATTCTTTGGTTTCTAAGGAGTTGGTTATTTCTTTCTTTTGGACCTCACTTTGTTTAGATGATTTTAAGCCTAAATTTGTCAAGCTAACTTCCAGTTACTGATTGTTATTTAGCGAAATAATTCTTCACAAATAATTAGAGCACAGTCAGGAGATTTTACTGAAAAGAAGGATGATATCGAAAGCTATTACTATAGATCAAGAATCTTTCAGTGTCGACCCAGCTGACAAATATAAGCGAATAAGTGTTTTGTGTATTTAACAACAATAAGTGTAACTTTATTGCTAATGTACGTGTTTTCATCCGTATCATTGGAAGTATTTCATGAAGTGTTGTTCCACTTGAGTGAATGTCATGGTTATTGAAAATTTAATGCAGTTATACTTACAAAACGTCTGTGTAGGATTCACAGTTTGGTCACATGAGTCCCATCGTTAGCTAATTATGTTTACCAATTTGAATGTAAGGACAAGTACTTAACGACAGTTTGGGAAGGACGTCACGCTATATCGCAAAGTGACAGAAGTAGGAAAATGTATACCAAAGGATCCCGATTGAGTGGCTCAATGGTACAGCGCTCACCATGGGAACTGAAGGTCCTGGGTTAGATCCCCAGCAGGGCTGAGTCATGGATGAGTCTTACAGTAGGACAAAACAAGAGGCCAGTACTCCTAGCTTTTCAGTGGTTCTCCAACTGGTGTCAGTCCGTGAGAAATACCAACGTGAAACCGATAAATCCTCAAATTCCTCTAAGACTGAATAACGCCAATGTTAAGAAACAGGCGAGAATCATACTGCCGCATGTATGAAAAATGATAAATAACTGGACTGTTCACGAAAATATGTTTCAATCTTTATATTGTATACTGTCTTGTTAGTGAAACTAATGGCAATAATGTAATTCCTTGGTTTATGCCCATAGCACTTTTCGCAATTTAGCTAGAAACCGGATTTTGGAGACCTTTTAGTATGCTTATCATTGGTCCAGAACTATTTGGTAAAAGAATGAGCACTTGATTTACGAAACGTCAATTGTGGCAACTTTTTTATCATATTTTTGTCTTTCTTGTCTTTTATTTTATCTTCAAGTATAAGTTTGAGTCATGATGCCATGAAGTAAACCAATTTTGTATATAACATGCAGGGATGATTTTTGCCCTTTTGTTTTCATGGCCTAAAAATTCCCCTTCCTAAACAATCTAATTCAATTTATTAATAAATATAATCAGGTAATGACTACCAGAATACCTGCAGGTAAAAATTGTTTTCCTCTTTTTGAATACATTTGTTGGCTTGATAAATAAAAATGGTTTGTTGAATTTTAGTTGGTTGAAGGCAAACAGCAGAAGTCCTAGGCTTCGGGCTTGTTGGCACTCGTCAAAAAGGTGCATCTGTAACCTCGAGAGAACTAATGCCTCGTTTGAGTTTCAAATCTGCGTCAACTAGTGTTATATTCAATGACGTAACAACTCAAGTCGTGGATTCGGCTTGCTGACGAGTACCAGCAAGCTTGAAACGTAGGTCCATTAGGGCTTCCTGCCGATTGCCTCCAACCAACTAACACACTTATCAAAGTGCACCACGATAGTATGCCTTCTAGCTTAGTCACCACATTCCTAAACAATCGATCGATAACACTTGGTCAGTAGTCAGCATTAGACAACATAAAATCGGTCACCCTCTGCTGACCCATTGCTGTAGAGGTGATTTGTTTCTAAAATTACTTCAAGGCTTCCAAACTTGATTTTGCGTGTGCAAGTCATCTGTTTGTACATCTCTGTGTACTAGTGGTGTAGTGGGCGTTGCTGATAATGACGGATATAAGTAGTATATATGGAGAGAGTGGCAGGAATCATAGGGAATTACCGGTTATGGGTAAGGTTCTTGCCAAGAGCAATGCAGGGGACAACAAAAGCGTATTACAGTGGATGCTGCTGATAAGAGTGTATGAAGAACCAGTCAAGACAATTCAAGACAGGAACAGAGAGAAAACGAAGACATTTGCAAATGGCTGCGTTAATGCAAGGAGTACCATGTGTAGCCACTACCATTCCAATTCCTGATACACATTCCCGCGTCGAGTTGTCTTCTGTTCTGAACTAGTATGAGGTTACTACGGGAAATTTAATGCTATAACGCCTTGCTTTACAATTATTGGTAACTAAAGTTGATGACATGCTTAGGCCCTATAAAAACAATAATGCATCAACATGTTGAGTTTTCCTGCTAAGAAGTTAGAAGCTGCTTTCAGTGGCTTTTCAATGCAAAAACAGATAGTGCAAAATTAGCGCTTTTCAATGTTCACATCGGGTTATAACTGGTTCCTTTGTTTCTCATCAGAAAGTAGTATCTTCAACAGTAGTTTTAAACATTACAATCTTATAAACTAACCATAATCAAAAGTGATTCAGATACTGTGGTGTCACACCAGTGCCCCTCGTACAAATATCTGAAGATCGGGAGTTATTTGTTTATTTACAATATATACTAACAAAAGTTTTCTTTTGATGTGGTCAAAATTCTTTGTATGTGAGTGAATCTGTGTTGGTCTTCATATGTCTGGTAAGAAATAGTCACTAGTGGATATAAAAAAGAGGCAAACATAAATCTGAAATTCAGCATGAGTAACGCATTTTAAAGTAGCATAGGAACTGTTTATAGTTCATATTTCCACATTTCATATCCGCTAAAGCTTTCTTGTGTTCTCAGTTTCCACTGGATAACTTGTGTAGTTCCTTTCCATAAAATAAGTTCTTATGTTGGCCATATTATCATTCTTATAGCCTTTTATGAGAAATTTAGGTGGAAGACAAGGAACTTACGTTGATTTCTACAAAGCTCAGTTGAGTGGAAGTTCAGTATGATTCTGAAAATTTCAGAAAAGGCCACTGAAAAAACGTGCTGTGGAAGAGGGTTTCAATAAATCAATCATTTAATGCAGATAATCTGACCTTGGATTCTGAATATCTGAGTGTTGTACTTTCAAATGGAAAGTTTAAGGAGACAGAATTTAAGACGTTAATTGTTGTACAAGTGAAATGACTGAACATCTAGTTTTCCTATATCTAGTACTACAAGATAATGAAATTTACACTTTTCCAGATAATCAAAATACATAAGTGAAAAATAAGCTCCAGTTGAACTATTTCAAAGTGACAATTTACTGACTGTTTTAATTACTGAGCCAAGTTGTCTGTTAATACTGAACAGGGTGACAAATAACTAAAGTGAGTTCTACCGAGCGACCACCAGTCTGACGTACCTGTATCCGCTTGGCTGAAACTCATCCCATATTGATGAACTCCTTTAATATCAAAGGGTTTCAAAAGAGAACACTTGTATATGCTTAAGACAAACTCTTGGCGTTTACCTATGTTTGTTAAATTTAATATTTATTTCCAATGAAAGTATAATAGTAATATATTTGCTTTATTCTGCACCATAGTTACGTTTACGTACAGAATTCTTGGCGTGTGCTATTACATCAATATACACATTGTGCAACATAACATTCTTAAAAGACTGACAATGGTTATGTTTGACAATATATAATAAAAAGTAACGAATAACAGGACTACCGAAGTGACTGGTGACTTCAGGGACATGAAAACCATTCTTTATTACACAGTTGATTGGTGAGACTTTGTCTAACAAGATTTTCTCAACACAATACACAAGCTAAACAAGGTTTGGTTAAATTTTTGTATGTGATTGTAGATGCATAGAGTTTAATATATTTTGCTCCTTGTCTTTCCAGACGACAGACATGGAAAAAGGTGCAGATGCAGAGGATCCTTGTTATCAGATGATATATTTTTAGCCAGTAGTCTACAAGAGTTCATGTGTCTATCCACGACTTCATTTATCAGTTCGGTTAGGAGTATGCTACTTGCTCTACAAACAGCCTTTAAAGTCCTATGCAATATAACGTAGTCTTTTTTATGGAGTCCACGAAAGAATAAGGGGGAACAATAAGTAAGTATAGGTAAAACACAAAAATTCATGAAACATAAGAGTAGAGACTGAGTTATGCCAGACAGCCTGATAACCCAAACATGAATGTTGTTTTTCGCAAGATAGTGCCGATAACTGTTGTCACAAATATTTGTACATTATATGCATTGAGTAAGATACACCTTCTGTATTGTTAAAAAATCTTCTGATGTGAAAGCAGACGATTTTGTGTAGGGTGTGTAGATCAGGTTATGCAATGTCATGATAAGTTGCTGTATTATTCATGAAATGTTGAAGGAATGGAAGAAAATTGCTCAGAACAATTGGAGGACATTTCATTTTAATAGTTTGTCTTTGGATAACATGGACTGAAAAGAAAGCTTATTTAAATCAAATTACTTGCAGTGATAAGGTTCATGATAGACACTTAATAAATATACAGAATATGGATTGGTTAGACTTACTTCTTCCCACTGAGTTATATACCGAACTAAACGTGAAAGACGTAGAAGCCTTAGTAAACTCAATAGTTTCGCTAATCGTAATATCCTTAATGCACGACCTGTAGAGAAAGAATAAAATACGATGTATAATGCAAAGTTAGTTGATGATAGAAGGTATGTAGTGCACTGAATCATTTACATCAATAATGTTCACATTCTTATATACAATTACCTGTTTTTTTTAAAAATTATTCTCTTATTTTAAATCATAGCACATATTAATGAGATAAATTCCTTTGATTTAATACTCAAGAAACAAATATGAAAAAGAAACATTATGCATTTCTTCAATATCAGACAGCTGCTCCTTTTTTTAAACTAATTTCAGTAAGGCAAGAACAAAAAATTTTACACAGGACCATGAATTTGCGGTTCTTCATCGCTTTTTAAAAACCGTATTTAACCTACAATTGAGATGAGCTTATGAACGAAATTAGGATAGAAGTAAGTACAACACTAGCAGCTAAGCTAGTCTCCTCATGCAAAAATATTTCTCACTACAGTAATCAAAAGTCATGTTACCTCCAACTGTATTTGTCAGTTAAATAGTGAGCATCAAAGTAAGTTCATTGGAAGGATAGAGAAGAGAGCTGAGACTCGACTCGCTGAACACAGCTCAAATAAGCTAGGGATAGCCTTAGTAGTTTTATTGCTCGATGTTTGATACAGACAGTACAAGATAGCCACATGTAGAGTCCATCTAAAGTGACCAGCAAGCAACACAATGCTCATTTATGTAAACCTGAGGAATCACTTAGCTATCAGAAGAATTAACCGAGTTTTTCTTTCCAGGTAGCTGTATACCTTCAACCTAAATGATTTCCGTATTGTTTGTATTTTTCACCCCCCTTTTTCCTGTGATTCCCAAATCAACTACCACTTTATCTTCACACTCAAATCAACCTTGTTTTATATTGATGGTTTATTGCATACACAGCGTAATCTCTTCTATTGTATTATTTGGTTGTAGCGAAACAATCTGACTATATAAGGATTGAATAGCTGAAGCGGAGAAAGCTTCTGAAATCCATTTCCTACTCCGAAGTATTGAAACCTGTGCATCCAACAAGTTTAAATTCATGAATCTTCAGAAAATGACTGAGAGGCTATTCAGCTATTTCTAGACTTTGATTTTGCTTGTGTGAAGAAGACGCGTAAAATGAAGAATATTTTTATAGCGCTACAAAACCATCATATCCCACAAGCAGAAGAAAGGAATACGCATGAAAGGGGCGGACGATGAACTAAACCTCAGAACTCAATAAAAAAGGCATTTAGATTGTTTTGCTTATGTTTTCACACTAATTTTTGTTGAAATGACTCAAGTACCAACTCATCAAAGGAACGATACTCCATTAACAGTAACGCAAATAATAATTACTAATTAGGATGAAAAATCTATGTTTAGCTTAAAATTCCACCTAATCTACTGATATGAGATGATTTCCATGTTAAGGTTTTGACAGAAGTTTGTGTCGAATTTTTATGACAAGCAAGAATCTTCTTATCAGGTTCAGAAAAAATTACATATTGGGACTTATTGTGTCATTTTTCTTATCCCATAAAGGTTAATAAGTAAATTAACAAGTATAAACATCCCTTGAACAAACTAAAAATATTCTTTCGTATGGATGTGTTTCTATTCCAGTCACTGCTTTGTATTCGTATTTATCACAAGGTTTAATAGAGTTTTTAGCCCGAACTTTGAAAGAGTTTCACTCTTATATATAGCAGGATTTACACAGGGAATAGGCATATGGATATTAAGATCGCTAAATGAACTGAAAATTCATTCAGTAACCTGTTTGATATCTATAAACAAATAACGCGAAACTCAGTAGACATCGGGTGACATTTCGCTTAACTGGTTAATTGCATCTCTCTATTTAATTTACCGAAATGAAGATTTGAATTCCACACTCAGTGAACTGGTATGTTTAGCTATAGGCAACAAACAGCTGCTTACACATTTATTTCTTGACAAAGCCAAAAATATAGGCGAAAATGTAATGTCTTCGAGTCTTCTTATTACAATACAAAATTAAAAGTAAATAAATTCTTCAGGAATCCCTAAGGTTATAATTGAGTTGGTTGTGGCTAGGAGTAGAGTTTAGGATGCGTTTTCATCCTATTTTGCAACTCGTGAGCCGGATGTACCTGTACCTCAGTGAGTGATACTGTTCTCACTGAGACTCGAACCTCACACCAGTTGTCTAGTTTGTAACCCTTTGACATTTTAAGTAACAGGCACGAGGTTTGAGTCTCAGTGGGATTAAACCATTCAGTGAGGTGTAGGCAAGTCCAGTTGATGAATCCTATGTGAGACGAAACGCGCCTCCTTCATATCACTGCTAACAATAAATATTCAGGGAATATCGAGGCACCCGCATTGGACCTCATATATCAATTGAGGTTGACCTATTTGATCCAGTATAACAAGGGAGTATTACAAACATCAAGAAACTATAATCCTGGAGGTTATTTTTTTGGTTGACTAAGTATCACTCAGGGTGACTACCTGTAATCGTTGTTGGTACATTATTCTGTTATCTTGGATTATTTGAGGTTGACATTGAAATGCATGTTTGCTTTTAAATACAGATTTGCGTCGAATTTTTAGAACAAACAAGGATCTTCTTACCAGGTTCGGAAAGAACGACATATTGCTGACAAAAGGAGAACGGAAATGCATCCTCAGCTCTGTGATAAAACAGTTACCAAACTCAGGACATTTGGCTGCTTCAGAATTCTGCCTAACTGATAGTAGATTCCAAATGTTGCTATATTAGTTAATTATGACCAACTAGTGTGGAACAGCAGGTTCGAGAAGCTTTAACTGATCCAAACCCAGGGGACTGTAAAACATGCTAGAATAGAAAATTTTGAAGGTCATTTATGTCAGACCGGTAAGCTATAGACTGCCTCCATGATAACGTCTAGTTAAGCGATAGAATGTCGTCACAATTAATGCTGTGTATGATTATATTACTAGGTAACCGCATAACAAACAGCAGATTACTTTATAAGCTTGTGTTAAAAAGATTGCCGCAGTGCATATTTACTTATTCAGATGACAATATCGAATCGCACTTACGAAAAACCACGGTTTTCCTTGGTGTCAAACGTAATATGTGCTCCTCAGACCAATAGAACTGCTGCACTGCATCAGAAAGTATAAGTATTAAGCTAGTAGTTGTTAGTATTGAGTACGTGTAAACGGTCGCGAAGCATTCAAGCAGATAGATATTCCAGACCTTATCTGTTTCTATATCGACAGGAAAAAAGAACAATATGCTGCTGTAAACGCGATTCCGATGACCATGTTCGATGCGAAAAGGCGGCCTGACATTAGTGCAATAGTCGTCTGTTTTATATTTCCGACAGGAATAATGAGACTCGGTTATTGGTGGATACAGATGTAGCAGTAGTTATCATTCCATCTGACCCTTCTGACTGACGGAAGCCTAGTCAAGGTCTTACTCTGCATCATGTGGCCAAATCTAGTATATGAACTTTTCGGTGATGTGAAATGGTACTGAATCTTGGTTCAAACCTACTCTTAACATTAAAGTACATTACTGTGGAACAGCATTTTTTCATCATTGTTACAGATTTCTGATACCAACTGAGTTATTTTTGTCAGACTCTAAGTAACACTGACATTCAAATAATCAGATTAATTAATCCATCTACAGTACAATGACCGAATCACAGTCTACAAATCTTGTTAATCCAACCAAAATGCATAGGCATACATTTTGGGTAGAATTTATGTATTTCAGTATGAAACTGTTCAATAAGTCTATTATTTTACTGAGTATTGGGTGCATGAAAAGGGGCTATGATATATGATATAATCATGTGAACAAGTTTTATATGCACAAAGTAATTAGTATTAGATTTGGAGGTTCAAGAAGATTTATTTATTGTATTAGGGTGTTATTCACCATGGACTGGGATCAGTCGGAAGACCATTGAAAACCTGGGAGCACTGGACAGATGTTTCATTCTAGTTTGGGACTCTGAAATGGTGGGGAATGTTTGTAGTTCCGGTAGATGGTCTTGGTTGTTTCGTGTTCTCTGAGCTGGGTTGTTTAGTCGGCTAAATAACCCAGCTCAAAGAGCACAATACAACCAAGAGTTTAGGACTCTTCAGCAGTACACATCCATAACCCTACCGTACCAAGGATAGAACTCAGAACCTTCATGTTCTGCTCTGAAAACATTACTACTGAGCTACTGGATCGTAATGCAATGGTTCACATGGGCAACTTTTTCCGTTCGTGATATGATGTGATCTCCATCCGATGGCTTCGTTGAGTAACTCAACCGTGAATTTGTTTGTGCCACCGTGGAAAAACAAATTTATGGAAGCATGGTAATCCAGTGAAATGGCCAGACACTTGGACGAAGACAATCCATGGACTATTGATAAAAGATTGGTCAACTGGAAATCAATCACACTAATTATTAAGGTGATAGTGTATCAACAGAATGGGTCAAATGGTCACACTAATAACAAGTATCAGCCTTTGATCAGAAAGAAAGAGCCATGGTTTTTATACATAAGTCAGTACTCCTCAAGCTTACAAAAGACCCTATTTAAACGTTTGTGTAAACTGAAAATTTTGTACTTTCTAGTGAAGCAAGTGCTCATGAAGTCACTTAGTTTGATGACGGAATGTCGAGAAATAAACTTCAAACCTCAGAGAACACTAAACATTTATGATCTGCAGAGACTCATGTTTACCGACTGATTTTATGGAATGTGAAATATTATACTGCGTCAAAGTAATTCATTGAGAAAAAGATGGGTGCATTAAAACAAACAAACTTGTTATCATTAGCCTTGACTTGCTTACTGTATAGCTATGCAAGGGAAATTACCCTAAAAAAAATCTTCTTCGTCAAAATTATAACTTCAGACATTGTTATCAACAGGCTCTACATTGTACAACATTTGTGGGAATCTCTGAAGATACTTTCATAAGTCTCATTTTCATTGTTTGTAAAATCACTGATTGATGTTGATTACTAAATTTTGTCCTTGTTGTTACTG